TGTGGAAAGAACTGAAAACTCCATCCATCCATCCAATGAACAATTTAGCAGGCCCAAATTGTCAGTCTTTTATTTGTAAAAGTTTGAAATATCCAATATATTTGGCTCCACTTCATGATTGTCTCCCACTTGTTGTTGATTCTTCACAAAAAATTACAATTTTATATCTTCATGTTTGAAGCCTGAAATGTGGCAATTCACCAAGATTTCTACATCTGTGCATGTGGTTTTCTTCCCACTAAAAATTAGAAGAAATTACATCTCTAATTATGTAGTATAAAGCCAAAATCTTTTAAGAAAACATTCATTTGAAAAATGTATTAAAAGATAGTGAGCAATAATTCATGAGAAAATAACATTAATATTGTGCCAATCCCTACAGATTGCCCTCGTGCACTTCCTGTTCAACATCTCGGGCATCATTCTTTGGTACCCAATCCCGTTCACCCGCTTTCCCATCCGGATGGCTAAAAGTTTGGGGAACGTCACGGCCAACTACCGCTGGTTTGCTGCTGTCTACATCATCTTGTGCTTTTTCTTTTTACCGCTCTTGGTGTTCAGCCTGTCACTGGCTGGTTGGAAGGTCCTGGTGGGCGTAGGTGTGCCAATTGTGGTCATTCTGATCATTATCGTGGTCATCAATGTGCTTCAGAAACGGAAACCAGGTTGTCTGCCAGCAGCACTGCGATCATGGGACTTTCTCCCTCTCTGGGCCCACTCCCTAGAGCCATGGGATAAAGTGGTTACTATGTGTACAGCAAAATGCTGTTGTTGCTGTAAATGCTGCCAAACGACAGTAGGTGACCAAGAACACGAAGACGAAGAATCTGTGAAGAATGACAAGAGGATGCACATGTCTGTGTATGACAACCCTGCAATGAGTGCAGAGAAAGAAGTGGAAGATGAGATAAAGTTAGAGCTCAACATTCTGAAAATGACCCAGCTTTAAACAGGTAGTTTAACTGTGTTTTTGTGCGTAAAGCCGGTGTGGTGCAATGAAGCAAACTGGTCATGGCACAAGAAACAACGAGCTTCTAAATAATATTGTTGCTTTTATGTGTAAAGAGAGAAATGGCTGCATAAGACCAAGAGACAAAAAATGCCATGAGAGGACTAAACCAACAACATGTTTGTTTGTCTTAAAGTAATTTACTACTCAGCCATCCCTATTTACAGTTCAGGTTTCCATGACCAAAGATGAAAAATCAGCTATCGAATATAAATTATTCTACTAGGCCATGAACATAAACAGCTAATGTTCATCAGAAATCTAACTAGTTGTATCTTTAAGTTAGTCAGAGCTGGCAGAGCTTGACCCACCCAAAAAAAGGAAAGACAAACTCAGCGGAGCAGTTTTTTATAACCTTTGAAATTATTTTCTCATTAATTCTCCATACCCACTTACTCCATTTCAGGGTCATGCTTGGGCTGTATGTTGGGATGGGAGACAGGTACACCCTGGACAGGTCACTTGTTATTACGGAACCAATGCAAATAAAAAAAAAAAGTTAATGGAAACCCAACTGGTGGGTCCACCTTAACGTCTCTGTGACTTTATATATATCAACTCTTCAACCCTTCTGGTGCCTTCTGGCATTTGTTTTCAAAAATGGTGTCAAATATAAAATAGATCTGGAGTCATTCCTTGATTAATAGTTTCCATTCATAGTGTTGTTTTTTCTTGACTTGATAAATAATAATAGCACAATTTTATAAGAAAATTTTAACAATAGCAGTACTGCTTGTAAATGACAATTGAAGTGTGTGACCCAGGATAATATTGGATTTGGTCTTTTAGTGGGAAAAACAAAGAAGATACTTCACACATCTGCTCCTTGAAATGTGCACAGTAGCTAACTGAACTCCAGCACACCATATGACCCACAAAAAAAACTTTTTTAGAGCATTGTTGGTTGTGTTGTAGGAAAAATGTGCAATTATTTGGTGTATTCTAAAAAAATTTACAAGCAAAACTACTGTATTTAGCTTTCTATCTGAAACATGATGATCAAACTGCTATTGAATCTTCCTAAAAATAAAACAAGCACAACAGGAAAGTGTTTTTAATTAACATTGGCAATTGAATATTGAAACCATCATTTTATTCTAAGTGCTGTAAACTGAGTGTAATCTAAATGTGCCATGACCTTTGTGTAAGAGCATTTCAAATCCAACCAGAGAGAGTTTGGAGTGATCATGTTTTGAAGGTTCATCTTTTGCATTTGTCTGAAGGAAGCACAGAGAGCCTTAACACATCGTTTTAAGGTGTAGAATCATTTTGTAATTAAAAAGTTTTTAAAATTGTATTCAAGGAATATGTAGTGTGAAAATGAGATGAATGATCATCTACTAAATGTTTTATATATTTATTGTTTCTTTTAAAGTTGAATGCTATGTCTTCAAAAATAATTATGTTTCAATTAAAAAAGAAACCATAAAACCATTTACTGGACTGACTGAGTCACTTCAATAATCACCTGCCATAAATCACTTCACTCATCATTTTCAAAATTTCTCAGACCCTTTATTTGTTTGTATACGTTGTTAATTTCCCTCTTATCAATGTTATATGGGTGTCTCTGGTAATTAAGTCAATAAAGACTTCTAAGAATTAGGCATGGTCAGTATCAAAACACCTGACCATCACTATCTTTGAATAATTGACTTTCTGAACAGCCTTCTTTTACAACTCCAGGACATTTTCTGCCTGAACTTACTGGACAGTTATATTTGTGAGCGTTAAATTAATGTTGTGTAAGAGTTGGTAAGTTACAAACGACAGAGACCTCTGTCACATGACTTTAAGCCCTGTACAAAGCCTGTGAATAATAGGTAATCAATATGTCAGTATTAAAGATACACAACTAGGTATCAAACATAGTTTACATGCAGTCCACTGACACTCTAACATGCTCATGTGTTAAACACAGACACATTTAATCATTAAGAGATGTTACATATCCTTTTTTATACCCGCTTGATCCATTTCAGGGTGAGGTGTTAGCCCGTCACATGGCCACACAAAGACACAACACACAGCCATGCACTACAACACTCATCCGAGAGTCAATTTAGACTCACCAATCAATCTGTATGCATGTTGCATGAATTAACAAAGAATAAACAGAGAGAACTAGCAAACAGGGAGAACATGCTAACTATGACACTGGCAGTTTCACCCTGTAGGTTTGTTTGCTTTTATTTATCAAATTACATAAAAAAAGATTAATTTCAGGTGTGTTGTGAATCTCATTTCTGAGACACATCACGTCTGTGAAATTGAGGTTAAAAAACTATGGTGTAAGTCAAATTAAATAGAATATTATACATGTCTTTTAAAAATATAACTGTACTCTTTTTGGCGGTGTTGTGGTTAGCACCGTCGCCTCACAACAATAGGGTTCTGGGTTTGAGTCCCCAAGGGAACCAGGACCTTTCTGTGTGGAGTTTGCAGGTTCTCCCTGTGTCTGTCCAGAAATTGAGGTTGATTGTACATTCCAAATTGCCCTTAAGAGTGAGTGTGCATGGTTGTTTGTCTCTGTGTGGCCCTGCAAAGGACTGGCCTTTACTCCAGGGTGTACCCTGCTTCTTGCCCATTGACTACTGGGTTAGGCTCCAGTCCCGCAGTAACCCCATTTGGGAATAAGCGGTTACGAAAATGGATGGAATTGTACTCTTTTCTTTTCTTTTCTTTTCAAACATAACAATTTAAAGTAAGTAGGAAATCTGTAAGTGAATCATAAACATCTGCTCAAACACTTCAAAATCAACTTTTGGCCAAGTTGTACACATTGTTCCTCTAAAACAGAGGGTGACCCTTAACTGAGCCTTTTGAATGACTTCTTCGAGTGTGTTTTTCCTGGATCTGATTTGCATAGAGTTGAGAAACACAGGATCATGGGAACATGGTTTCAGCAAGTATGAGAAGAGATGATCAAAACATAGATGGGATGCAAGGTGATATAAACTTTTTATTAACTAAAACAAACTCCGGCTAAGCTGCTGCAGAGGTTGGCTGTCCAAACATTAGAGAAATTAAACAAATAAAAACAAAAAATGCAACAAAACCAAACATAAAAGCAGGATGAGGTAAAACTGAATCAGACCTGGCAATACATTTATGTTTGTTCTAAACTAAACTAGACTAAAACATGCAACATATAATAAATACTTTGTCATGTCGAATACAAATGATTGTCCTGCTAAAGATAACTACTTCCTCAAAAGAAGGTGATGTGATATGAACCTCTAGCCACTCATTCATCTAAATTTACATTTAACAGTAATCATCTGTGAAATTTAACAAAGTCAAACATGGAACAATAACATAAATCTGTGACTGTACAACACTTATCACAGGCATAAATTCCTTTTATTGGAGTCCATCATTCAAACGAGACTATGCTTACAAGCAAAGCAGCAACTGAACAACAAAGATGGGCTTTACAAAGAGGACACTCTGAGTCAAGGAACAACATATCAGAATTTATAGTCCCGGAGGCATGCGTGACTCACCTGAGTTGATTCTGGGAGAAACGTTCAGCTGCTTAAAGTAGCTTCTCTTTATCTTCTTCAACATTATCTAAAGCACTCAAAGTTTATGTAACTAATCGTATCAATATCAGCTCAGATTTATTACTTATCTTTCCAGTGACCATCTCCCTTAAATAAGATATGATGAAATTATCAGTTAATTGCAGTTGAATTTTCTGCTGCGGCGTATCTGGACGGGAAAAACATCAGATGTGTCTTTTAACCCTAAGTGTTCATGGCATTGCTGAGGCTGAGGGGATTTTTAAGAAGAGGTGGAGCATCCCTCTGCTGGAAAAGTGAGTGGGTTGCCCTTCCTGGTAATGACAAAGTGGCTGTACATTGAACTGATGTGTTCCTCAGGTTATTCACGCGCACACTAATCTGCTCAGCTTTCACTGGAAAAGTGTTACGTTTCAAATATTTATCACAGGGTTTAACGACTTAAATTCAAAGTTAAATCTATACACACCCCTTAGACAAACAAAATTTCCTCCCAACTATATTGCTCAAGCCCAGTTTTAGCATCATTGTTGGGTGTGAATTATTGCATCTGTCAGATTTGAACTTTAAGCCTCCTGATTATCACAATTTCACTTCATAAGTCAATAAAGTTCCATTTTCAAAAGGTCCTTCTCAACCAAGCATGGTTGACAGGCCCAAACAGAGAGGACTTTGCATGAATAGAAAAATGAAAAATGATTTTAACTTAATACAAAGTTCTGAATTTGATGTGTATTATGACGAATTCGAAACAATTTTTTCTTTCTTGTAATGTAAAGTACAGAATTATAGGATGAATGGCTTAAGAGCAGATCCAGGATACATTAGAGAGATCAGTGCCTTCTGTACAGCTAGATGAGCTGGGTGAGGTACAGTGGCTGGGGAAAGTAAGATCTCAGCTCAGACTGATGACCTCAGCTCCCGGTCCTCCCGATTTAATCACGTTATGCCCCGATTTGGTCCCTTTCCCTCCATCTCACTCTGTAGTAATCACAGCAGTAATGGAGAAAAGAGCCTGCTTGATACTTCATTTGCATTATCTTCTCCACTTTTCATACTTCAAATAAAACTGTTGGGATTATCTGGCAAAGAGTTCACTGGGCATATTAGAAGTTATCTGACATGTTCCTTTTTTATATAACATGTTTGAGATCGCTCGCAGAAATGATCATACGTCTTTTGTGATGACCGCATTCCTTTACTAACTACATATAATTCAGTATGTACAACAATGAGCGTGTTGGATTTCACAGGTAGATGTGTATTTAAAGCAAAGCCATTTACATTCCACCAAATTTGTGAATATATATGTCTGGGTGTACATTGTGTACACATTTATGTTTTCGTGAAATGATAAATGAAATCCTGTTTTAGAAATATCTCTGGCTGCACTACATTGCCATCTAATGGTGATTCTAGGAACAGTACGTGCCATGTGAGGACAGCCTGTGACCCCCTTTGTTATTGGACATGTCTATGTGTGAAAGTCCCAGCTGGAACACATCAGAACTACCATTTCCAATGTGGTTTTGGTAACTGCACATGCATATGTGGGCTTGCTTGAGTGTGTCAGAAGTCTCAGATAGCTCGTAAAAAATCAGAATCCGCTTTTCGCTGCAGGGTTATTTGGGGCCCTCATTAATGTCCTCTGCCTCATTTGAAAACAGCTGCAGGCAATAGGAGAATAAAAAATAAAAAAGGTAATTAGTTAAAACTCAAGGACAAAACAGCAGACAAAGTCCTCAGAACAGTCTAGTAAGCATATGTTAGAGATGCCAGTGCAACCCAGAGGGCTTTATGAGAATCATTTTCAGAATGCACTTAAAAGGTTCCCTGTTTTCACACCTTCAAAGGTGTTCAGATCTGCAAACGAAAACACTGTTTTTTGCATGAAAGGATGACTCGACATTTTGTCAAAAAACAAAAATAATTCATTATTTTCAAAAACCAGAGGCAATATGTGGTTACAGACATTACAGAGAGCTGATGTGTGTTTTACAAATACTGTACAGGACCACCATCAGCTCATTAATAGATCCACTACTCTCTAGAACTGCCACTAAAGTAAACCCAAGCCACGATATAAAAACAAAACAAAACAACGTAAACGCAAAGGACATTTGCAATGTACCATCCACTGTATAAAGGGGGGAAAGGGAATAATTTACAATTGTAAGGGGCTTTTCTAAGTTGCTCACAGGCCGGATGAGGCCTTTACATACAGGACCACCTCAGTTGGTCACTTGTACAATCATTTGCAGCGACTAAAAACTTCTCCACTTAGCACCAGTAGATTGGCATGCGCCATCTATTTATTTTGGCTTTCCTGCTCCTTCTCTAGCTTTGGGGGAGTTGTTGCATTGTTACAATTACCAATAGACAGACAAAAAAAACCCTGTCTGCGTGCACATGTAAGAGGAGTCTTCAACTTAAAAAGGGACAGGTCCGTAGTAGGCGGTGTACGCGGCCACGATCCCCTGAGTGTCGGCCATTTCGTCGCAGGCCACGTTCAGCTCACACACCTCTCTCAGGCTAGAAAGACGGGAGGAAGAAAGACGACGTCAGACAACGCGTGTCACGGATCACCTTTGTTTCTGTCGTCATTTTGAACTCGCTTTTTTCCACCGGCCGTACCTTTCCATTTGCAGGGGGCTGAGGTCTCCTCCTGGAGCAGCTCTCCGACTCCTCAGGAGAGCAGCGGCCAGGTCTCTCTTCATGATCACCTGAGCAGCTAAAGAAACAAATATCAGACAGTTGTTGTGAGTTTTATTGCCTTGCACACCACAAAGATGCCTGAACCCTTTAACATCCCGCTAAACCATTTGGTAGAGCACATTTTTCACTGATTGGATTCATTCATAGGATATACCAGAAATGCACTGAACTAAACTAGCTCTAAAATCAGGTTTAAGTTTGTCATGCCTGAATTAAGCAGGAGTTATGAAATTTAGTTTTTCAAATGTCACACTTTCACCATAAAGTGCTGTGAAATTTTAAAAAATTTAAAAAAGCATACAAGAAGAAATGTTTTTCCGGTCTTTTTTCTCTGTGTAGATGTCAAAGGGGTAGAGCAGCAACTCACCTTCAACACTGGCTGACTCCGACGAAGATGAGGACGATGAAGACGAGGAGTCTGAGGCGGAGGAGTCGGACGCCGACGAGTCAGCGGAGTCGGACTCAGAGGAGGAGGAGGAGGAGGAAGACTCGGAGGAAGAGGACTCGGAGGACTCGGAGCTGGAGTCGGAGGCCGATGAGTCCGAGCTGGAGTTGGAGTCGGACGCCGAGGAGTCTGAGGACGAGTCCGACTCTGAGGAAGAGGCGGAATCGGACTCGGAAGAAGAAGAAGAGGAGGAGGACGCGTCCAGAGGGCCGGCTGTGGGGTCAGCAGGTGCAGCTTCAGCAGCGGGGTCAGCGGCAGGGTCCACCACGACCTCGGGTTCTACTGCTGAGAGACACAGAGCACGAAACGTTTGTGAGACTTTCTCAAGGAGAGTTTGCTGAGAGAGAGAAAGCACTATTCAATCTTACCTCCCATGGACCAGCAGACTGAGAGAAGAGCGCAGACGGAGAGTAGAGCCAGAGTCTTCATGATGACTTGTCTGTTTGCGACTCAACGCTTTCTTTTCTGTTTGGCTTGCCTTTGCCTTTGCCTTGCCTCGTTGGATCGCTCTGCTTCTTTGCCCCTGCAGACCGGGTCAATATATACTGGAAGTCCACCTCTTTTAGCCGGGCCAGACCCACACAATGAAGTCACCCCTCTGATTGGCTGGAGAATCGAATATCAACATTTCCGCTCCCGCTTGTCATGACATCCTCCACAAACTCCCACGCAGCCCCTGGCACCGAGTCCAGGCTGGGCCACAAACATTCCTGGCATTGTAGGTGCACTACACTACACAGCAGGGCATGTAAACGCACATGCATGCATGTTTATTTGAAAATTTGGGGTTCGAGAAAAAGAGGAACGACTTGTTTTTCTCCTCAGGTTATTCCCCCTCTGTATAATGCAAATGTTAGCTCAAACATAAGTCAATACATCATCTTAATCTTAATATGAACAGTAGATAAATGTCTAATAATTTGAATGAAGCTGAAACTTAAATTACTTTCTTTCTAGGTAAAATATACAATTTTCTTGTCAAAATTACCCTCTAAAAATGCCACCTTCTCCCGACCAATAATTTTCACATCTGTCTTGTTCGCCAATCAAAAAAAATCCCCCCATTCAAATTCGTTTCACTCCTCACCCCTCAACTCTGTGATATAAATAACAGTCCAAACTGGTTGTGTTACAAGATTTCTTTAAAATAAACCTCGTCATTAGATCATAAACCGGGGGACCTGTTGCAGGGCTGCGTTTTTTTGTTGTTGTTTTTTTTACACATCAGCGTTGTGTTACTATGCTTTTTGCCCCAGATGTGATCTACCACCCCCGCAAACCCACAAACTACAGCCTGAGATGACCACAAGCTACTAATCGAGCGACACGGAAGAACTGAGAGCCTCATTATGCGACAGAGCTTAATTAGAGTGTTGCAGAGTCCCGCTCGAACCGCAGTCAGTTCGCTATTTACGGATCCATTTTTTGCCCAGGTCCCAGGATGGATCCAGGACACAGCCACAGCTTACAAACACTAAGCGGTGGCCCAACATACGGCCCGGGCTGAGGTATTTGAGCATATTTGGAGCCAGATTTAGGCAGCCCCCATGTGTTGGATGCAAAGCGTTATGCATGCGGGTTTGGCTGCAGCTTTCTGTTTGTACGACATGGTCCAGGCTGTGGTTTTTAGATAAAAAAATTAAATTTAGAGTCTGCTGCTTTTTAGGCCATATTGCTTCTTGAATAGGGTCTAGATTAGAAACCATTTAGGCACTCGTATCACTTAACATATAAATACCCTCCATGGCTTATACGACCAGCCTCATCTGTCATGTAGTGGGATGTCCAGCCTGCTGCAGGCTGACCTCTGTGTCCTCAGTATACCACGGCCTAACGTTATTCCTGGTGTTTGTGATTTGTTTTGGACCATGCGCTGTGTAATTTCAATGTCTGGTTCAGCATCCCTTTTGGTGGATGCGTTTTAGCGTGTGTGGGGGGGGACACGGCAGGAGCAAACAATTGTCACAACGTCCCTGAAGCGGCAGGAAACACAGCGTCTCGGGAATTTCTGCTCTGGATGAGTTCCTGGTTTTGGTTGCATGCTCAGCTTCTGCCTTGTTGTTTTTTCCAGGTTTTCTGCTGGCCCCTCTCCTGTCCATTGTACCAAGAAAATGTCATGAATGCTGCGCAATGACTTATCTCTCCCGGCAGGGAACATCCTTTATGTGTCATTAAGAATTACTTCACGTTGACAGGGTGAATCTGATGGGGGGGAGAAGAAAAGGAAGAATGAAGTACTGTATTTGGACCTATAACAGTCTGTTTGTATAAAAAAATCGAAAAGTGGATCAAATTATCAATCAGTGTGGTGGTTAGCACCATCGCCTCACAGCAAAAGGGTTCTATGTTCAAGTGCCCTAGGGAACCAGGACCTTTCTGTGTGCAGTTTGCATGTTCTCCCTGCGTCTGCGTGGGTTTTCTCCGGGTTCTCCAGCTTCCTCCCACCATCCAAAAAGCCTGCAAGTTAGTTTGATTGGGCACTCCAAATTTCCCTTAAGAGTGAGTGTGCGTGGTTGTTTGTCCTTGTGTGTGTGGCCCTGCGACGGACTGATAGACTGTCCAGGGTCTAACCTGCCTCAGGTCCTTTAGGGAATTAGTGGTTACAAAAATGGATGGACATCCGAGTTGTGTGATTATTTATGGAATCAGAATAGACTTAGTCATGGCCAGTATTCTGCTATTTCAACTTTACCTTGCCTGTACATTAACTGAAAGCACATGTACATTCATCTTTCTTCTGAATTACCCTCTAGGACAGACTAAGAGCACACTGGTAACACACAGACTCGACGTGGTGGAGTAAGGAGATGGAAATGGGATTCTCTTTCATCAAAAGTGTGCAGCAGACTTTTGCACTGAGGGTGAGGAAATAGTGAATTCAGGCCCCTCCCCATTTGTGAAGTTGCTGCAAGATAGCCCTGGTAAATATAAACTTTTAAAAGGGCACGTACAATGCTATGGTCAGCATTTATTAGTTGGCCTGATTTGTATCAGAAGTGCAAAATTGAGATGTGACACTTCTATTTTGTGAACTGGGCACTATGTGAAAATGAATGGATTTTTTATAATCTCCATTTTCACTGAGTTCCATGCAGCTTTAACGTGAATTCCATAAGATCCCTTAATATAGTTCCATTATCTTTCTCTGCAGCACTCAACAAGTATACACCTCAACCCCTAGGCTCTAAAAAGCAAAGAAGGCAGGTCATTTTGGTGAGAGGATGCAAATTCCGAGTAGGCTCAAGTAAACAAATACACTCATGTTAGAGGCTAATTTATGCAGTTTCCTTAGATGTTTTAAATCCGGCTAATTCCCAAGGTTTTACATTGCATCATGACAGAATATTATATGAACGTGTATGGATATTTTGATGTTTAGTAATTTCTTCAAGTTTTTTCTGTTTAGAGCCGTATTTTTTTCCCCCAGGATTGTACAATGGACTGTAACTCGACTTTTTCACTCTTTCCACAGCAGAAGCCCAAATCAATGAGGCGATGATGGTTTGGACTGTAGCATTAAATGACAGTGTCCCACATTTTGTTTGAAGTTTCTTCTCCTTTTCCCTTCTTCAAAAAGGTGTGTTACTGTTATTGGTTGGGAAATATTCCATCTGTATGATCCTGTAGTCACAATGTCCTAATGTTTTTTAAAATTTTGTTTATCTTTTGTATCTTCAACCCCCCATACTTTGAAATAAGCTAATATTTCTCTTTCTACAACAAAACACTGTACTGGGTTAGGGACATTTAAAGCATTTGAAAAAGGAACACCTTCATTCCGGATCTTCATAAAACCCTTTCCAGACTCATTAACTTGGTTTTATATATGCAGCCCATTTGCTTAACCAGAGGGAAAGCTTCAACTGAGTAAATGCCAGGGAGAAAGTTGCATAATGATATGCTTGGGCCTCCTAGTCGTGTTAAAGCTCTCTTACCGAGTGTTTGGGTTTAAATGTTTTTGCCACAACTTTACTCTCAAAGTCTGGGTATTAAGTGTGATGCTGGTCTGGATTTTTCACGTGTGTGAGACCCTCAGTCAGGACAGATGATTTTCAGCTTGAGAAACAAACACCAATCTGGACTCTGGGCACACCAGTACCAGGTTGTTTAGAGTTTATACCCACTTTCACTCTGTAAAGAGCACTCACTGAAATCCATTTAGTCTGAAATCTGTTAAGTTTCAACTTCCGATTGTTAATGGAGTATTTTTAAAGACTTTATTTGTTTCATTACTCAAAAGGTTTCCATTTAAATCTTCTCATCACGATCACAAAAGTGATCATAAACAGTTCCTTTACTGTCTGGAATAATCATTCACAATTATGCATTGACGAAATATGAACAAAAAATTGGTTTTCAAAAACTACAAACTCAACCCAAGAGATACTTTGACCACTTATGGCTCATTCCTAATTGGTCTGATTGCAATATGTCACTGTAAACGTCTCTTAAACAGTCAGTATTTATGTAAAAGTTTGATACCAATTGTTTTTTGGGGATAAGGGTACTTTTTATTGAACACCCAGGTAACTGCAAGGTTTTCGGTTTTCGTTTTATTTGTTTCCTCTTTTCTTTTCTTTACTTTTGTTCAAATCACAAACCTTCCAGCACTCTTTTTTACTGCCATGCATTTGCACCTCTGAAAGGAATGTTAGTGATCTAACAGTTGGCTGGTAGTGGACTGACAAGTCAGAAGGGTGTTTTGTGTCTCACAAATCATTTAGGCTCACCAAACATTGAACTTCATGGGTTTACTGCTACATTTAAACTTTCCAAGCCAACTTTAAACCCTGCCCACATTTAACTGATGTGTTTATGACCTCTGTAATAGCAGCTGTCGGTGCAGCACTTATGCATTCAATTGTGAATGGGTTCAATTAGTGAAAGCACAATCACATCTAGACCAGCCACAGCACGGTTTGGTGATCCAACGCAGAGAGAACCTTGACTGGGAGCACCTGAGGTGAAGACCGAAAAAAAAGTCAGCAGATCCAAGATTTAAGACTATATTTGTTCTATGAGATGTCCGCAAAAAACGTGTTCCTCCAATAGCAATGAAAAGTTCACTTACAAGACTTACTTTTTTTCGCTTAAATTTGCAAAGCTTAACCATAAAAATCGATGAATGCTATTTATTAAGTGTCACAGCTTAAATGCCAATACATTTGTCTGTTAGAACTCCTCTGGAAAAGCAGTCAAGGTTTCCTCCCTGAATCGCTTTTCTAGGTTTAAATCTGTTATTTCTTTCAAACTTGTCCTAAGAAAAACAAGAGAAAAGACAGAAGTCCTTGTAAAATGACCACTTGTATATTTGTGTGTCCTGTCGCAAATGTTGGGCTATGTCTGTCTTTTTTTCCTTTTTTTTTTCTCAGGTGAATCATCTTTTACAACAGCTACTGTGGTTGTTTGTGAGAGAGCCCTCTACAAAGCGCACACGCTGCTATATTTACTTGTTTTTTTAACCTTCCATTGTCTTTTTATGTGCAGTGTATATAATATCGCCGCTTCCCCTGCTGCAGAATGGCTCATCCTTGTTCATTTTTCTCAGTGTGTTCACTTGCTATTTTCTCGGAACGACGGCGGAGCGGAGGTCATCTGGTAAACACATTCTTCATGGCGTGTAAACCGTTCACACACTTTGACTCATTTGTCTCTGTAACCGGCCGACGAATGATGTTTTATCCCTTTCTTGTGAAAAATATTTTTCAATTTTATTTGTCCCTAAATGGTTGTCGTGCAATATATTTATAATTTCTTTTGTGTGGTTGGATGGTTATATGCAGATTAAAGTGGCTTGTTGTCTTGTCTACTAATTGTCTCTGTACAGGCGGTGTATGTGACAGGATCTATATCAAACGGAAAATGTCCCTTTGGGAACAATAATGTTTATTGCATTATACTGTGGGCTCTTTGGCATTTCAGTGGCGGATAAGCTTCAACACCCCCAGTCTGTGTGTTCATGTCCTTTCATGTAGGTTTTCTGGTTTATGGAGTCTTGCAAGCTCTGTATGATGATTCTTAATCAGACATTTGGACCAGTGTCTGGTGTACCTGTCATAAAACTAGTGGTGAAATACTTAATGTGGTGGATCAAGTGGATGGAAGGTTAAGCAAAAATTTTAAAAGATAAAGATGATTTATATTTTTTTCAGGACTGATGGTGAGGGGGGGTTCATTTATTTGATATAAAACCATATACAGTGGGGGAAATAAGAATTTGGCCCCTTGCTGATTTTGCAGGTTTGCCCACTTACAAAGAATGCAACGATCTATAACTTTAATCATATGTACATTCTTACAGTGAAAGACAGAATCCCAAAGAAGATTCCAGAAAATCACATCATATGAATTTATAAAGATTGATAACCATCTGATGAGGAAAAACAAGCATTCTTTGTAAGTGGGCAAACCTGCAAAATCAGCAAGGGGTCAAATACTTATTTCCCCCACTGTACATCATTGTGGATTAAAGTAGTGACTTATTTCAAGTCAGCCACTCTTTTGAATCAGAAAAAATATATAAACTACCTGTAAGGTGTCATTTTTAGTTTAAAGACACACCTTCAAGCCCCCTTTGACCCCATCAGATCTTCAGCCATCGCCCCTCTAATCTGCCATGTATCTCACTGGAAACAGGCTCAGATGGCTGATGGCAGTGACTGCATATTTCCATCTGCTCCCTGAGAAAACGGTCACCTGCCAGGCTTCCCCAGTTCCGCCGGATGTATGTGCTTGGCACTGCAGCACCACTAATTATACGGATCCTGGTCTGGGCCTTGAAATGCACTTCTTACTTGAGGGAATATTTTTGGGACAAGGACAAGCTTTCTTTTTTTTTTCTCTTGATGTCTACAACCCATCTGTTGTTCTTTATAGAGTTTTTATAGGCGTTACATCTAAATATTCTCCCTTCTAGTCTATATTTGAAGGGCCAGATAAGTCTTTGAGTCAAATATCCAGCTGTAGATAATAAAATATGCTCTAATATTATCTGCGTGCTTACTACAATAGCATCTTCAAAGAGAATTGCGAAGCAAGTTCAGAGCGTGTTATTCTGATTTTATCATACTATTCTATCTAGAATGAATGACATAACAAACCAGCTTTCCCCGCTGTGTCTTGACTGCTTCGACCCCTGTCTTCCCTGTCTGCTTTCTGTCAGTTTCTCTGAGGTTGCTGTGTTGTGGTTTGGACACTAACATTTGCGGATAGACTAACAAACTCTGCCACATCACTGGGACTTGTGGCCAGTGACCTGCGGTCAGCGCAGCAGACCACAGACGGGCTCGCACTTACATAAACATACAAAACTCAATATACAACGGGACATAAGGAAGGCCGTTAAGGTGAACTTTGCAAACTTTTCTTATGCTGAAATAATGAACTTGCAAGAGTTAAATCTTACTTTTACCATTTATTTCTTTTTTTTTTTTATTCAGTGTAAAAGAATTTATTGATGTTTCTCTGTACTAAAGCTCTGTTTTGGGCACTTCTCCGGCTTGCTTCACCTCCTAAAACAGAAAAAAGGAATTCATTAAGTTAAAGCACCAGGCATTATTGTTCAGTCTTGAAATCACTTAATACTACACCAAATTTCCTCCGGAGTGGAGCTAAAAGAGCTTCACTCACTTCCTTTTTAATTCATCAACACATACAGTATATAGATACATTCTGCTAATTTAGCTCAAAATGGCGATTAACAGTGTTTTTCATTCAACAATTTGTACATTCATACTCATATTAATGCATATTTCCCCAAGTATGTAATTATATTGATCGACATAGAAATAAATACATTTCTTTTGCACTTTAAATTTTCTTTGAGCTATGATACACATCCAATATTTTTAAAAAGCAGTGTCATTTCACGGTAAAATGACGAGAAAAGTCACTTGAAATATACTTTTAGCATTAAATACTCTCAAACTTTTCACTTTCAAGAATCCTAAATATTATTAATTCCACACTACATAATGTCTATGAATTTGGATGTTTTGATTCCATGGTTTTACTAAGGGCACAAGCTTAAAGTCTGTTCACAGACTGATAAACCCAGGTGGAACTATGTTGTTTTCCTGTAAATTTTCTTTGGCACACTGACAAACTCTTCAACATCACAATCCTGAATTTTTGTAGACCTTTCAGCTTTTTCGACTGTTTTGTTTTTAAAAATGGAGAGAGTTTTTTGTTTATCTATTATCTTTTTCATGTTTCAATTTAGATTTTCTCGCGTGGTCGTTCATATTTCCAAATGCATGCAACTTGTATGTGATATCTAGTGTGAACTTCCCGTGTGAAGCAAACCTAAAAGTGTCCTGCATGTGCATTAGAGGATGCTATAACATATAGTAAGCACGCTCAGTGTTTGCATTTCAGCTCTTAATAAAACAAATAGGTGACATGCCCACAACCGCTTCTTTTGTTCCAGTCTTTAGTCTCCTTTTGTTTGTCCCAGAGTGACGAAAATGTCGCTGACAGTCGTTTGTCTAGTGTCAGTGACGTGCAGGTCGGATGAATGCGACCTGGCTGTGCAGACATGGGTCGCATATGGAAAGATCTGATATGTATTTAGGACCACATGTCCAAGCGGAATGGGTTGCATTTGGAAAAATACGTTCTGTGTTGTTCACACTGTCATGAAAACATCGCATGCAGGTCGCATTAGGGCAAAAAAGTCAGATTTGGCTCACTTGAGGCTGCAATATAAACAAAGCTTTATTTAATGTGGAACTGTTAAGATAAGTTTGGGTACCTATGTTTAGTTACATTTTCCTTTCTAATTGAAAAGTTAAAGGAACATGATTAAAAACTTAAAACCTTTTTACCCAATGGCCAACACTGGCATCAATACAATAAAAAGCAGTTTTCCATGGTAAGGAACACCTGCAAAAACTAGTTGTAGCTGTGTGTTGATGCAAAATCAAACCAGTTTGAGGTGAACTTCTGAATTGTAAAAATGTTCAATAGGCATGTTTCCAAAAACACAAAAGAGAACAATCCCTTTCGTTAGCCATTGCAGATGGTTGCTCCATTCCTTTTGACAATGTGTGGAAAATGAATGAATGTCATGGTATTGCTTACAGACTTTAGTCAGTGTCATCAGTAATGTGATACGTAGGACGGATTCTTGGACAAAATCATTTTAACTAGAAAAAAAAAAGTTGAAATTCTTTCACACAACGTGTTGGTTTTCCATCTTCCGACACATTTCAGAAAACAGCCACTCACTTTCAGGTCCCCTCGCAGGAAGGATTCACTGAACTCCCGCACACGCTCTGTGGTAATCTCTCCTTCAGGTAGGAGCCATTTCATGTCAGAATCTCCATCGTAGATACCGATTCGTGGGAGTTCTTTGGACTTGAGGCCAAAGTAGTCGAGTGCCTTTGAGTTGGACTTCACAGCTCCGTTAATTAGCACAAATAAGAGCTGGAACAAATGTTATAAATGAAGCATTTACTGAGCTCAGATTTACTTGCGAGATTCTTCTTCGAACTTATTCTACCACCAAAATATGCTGAACTGAAATAGTTTAAAACTCTCTGAAAAAATGGGTTCTAAATATCTATACCTTTCCGGTGAACTCCGGTGCTAGAGCTTCCAATCGTTGCTTGAGTTCAGTAAATTCTTTACTCCCCCTGTTAGCAAAGAGCAAAAGGTGTGTCTTCACCTCTGAATTGAACAGGCCCACTGCTGTCTGAGAAGACACACAGAGAGAAAACAGAGTAGAAAAAGAGTGTTAAGATGGCAGACATAATATTCACACTTGCAATGATCTTGCTTTTCAGACCTCTCACCTCAAAAAGCCGAGATGTTTGTTTTAAGTCTTATTGCGACCTTATGTTTGCTTATTAAGTGGCTCTTTTACTCTGATGTTTTTAGAAATTCGATGGAAAAAAGCTGCAGAAAAGAAAGATGCAGCAGAATGAAGAAGTTTCACCTACCACTTGGTTGTACTCTGTTATGTATCGGATCTCGTTTGTGTTGATGAAGTGAACGAGTCCATCAGCGTCTAACTTATGGGCCTCAGCCACGATGAGGTTCTCTTGGTGATTGTCCGCCTAAGCCAAAGAACACACACTTATATCAACACACCACCTAATGAGACAACAGCTACGGATGCTACAGAAAATCCCGCATGGTGGCGACGGTGTAGAGTACTTTTCTGAAGAGGGTGATTGCGTCCGAGGGGAGGCCATAGTCAGCCCACACCTCTTTCACAGTGCAAATGGCTGCAGGAACCGAGTCCGATCGCTTTGCAGCTTCTTCCAGCTCCTTATAGCCACGACTTTCCTCACCCTGGAACAGAGAATGAGATGGTCTTTGCTTCCATCCCTTTGGGAACGCCTGTAATTACCCCCTATGCATTTAATTGTCTAAAATTCCGAGGATTTATTCTCTTTTTCCTCAAAACTACAATCATTCTAACTATTGCATAAATCTCATGCAGCCAGATCAAGAATGTTTATTTGTAGGGAACACTAGAAATTTTCGATAGAGGGAAAATTAGAAAAAATACGGAAAGAGGAGGATTGTGGTTACCTCAAAGAGCAGTGAATCATAGTTATTTCTGTTTCATGAACTCTGGCAATACTATTTTTCTTATTTTGAGGCCTATATGCGTTCATTCTCAATGAGTCATAGCACCAATATTTTGGTTTGTTGTTGTCTTCAGCCTCATGGCTGAGCTATTTACTATCCTTATGTGCTCTCTCTTCTTCCCTTCTCCTCTCATGAACCTTGATTACACAAGTGTCAGTCGTGCCAATCCCACAAGTCTTCAGATACGTATGTATTTCCTGTCAAGCCTGCCATCTTCCCCCGCACATAGTCTGGCCAGAGAAGTTGCCTCCGTGGAACAGCAAGCTATGCTCCATCCTCGCAGCCCGGGCACTGCCAAAGGTGTGGCCCCAGGAAATATATTCCTCTCCAAAATCTATTTGTGATAGCTGCATCACGAAGATCAGGATGCAAATGAGTGTTTTCACCAGTCTCACTTTTAATTTGTCCTATCATTCCCTGGTTTCCCACATTCACAATAGCACAGTACAGTAAGCAATGAAAAAGCCTATTTAGGTCTTTAGAAAAACAATGTCTGAACGCTTGTTTGAAGCCTCTTCTTATTTGCAATTGACTTTACTGACCTCTAAGAATCCTAGGATCACCACTTCAGCAGAGTCAATGAAGGCTTCCACAGCCTCTTTGTCATTAAGCCTGGGAAGAACACCATCTGAGAAAGAAATCCATGAGACATACAACACACAAACAACCCAGCAGATATCTCTTACAGACTGGCCCACAGGCATGCAAACTTCAAAGTGAGGCAGCTCAAAAACACAGAAATACGTTGGGCTTGAAAATAGAATAGGAACACAATTATGAGAGCTGGGGGGATCCGGCCTTGCTAACTAGATTCGGAGGTCAATAAATTTTAATGCAAATCACAGCACAGCGGTACGTTGTAAGGACTATATGTATGATCATGCTTGATTGCTCTCACTTCATTAAGTTTTCCTTTTTTAAAATTAGATTTATATTTCTTTTTTTTGTGATTAACTGTTTTTTATTTAAGAACAAATTCCCAAGCTGGAAAACAGGAACATTACAGAGTCAGTGATCAATACCCACCCGCCCCACCCCAACCTTAGATACAAATCACATGACCCAATAGGTAAAAAATGGGAGAAAAAATAAATAAACAAAAATACAAAAAAAAGATACAAAGCATGCAAGACATCTCATTGTGCGTGATTCAGATTTATATTTCTTAAGTACTTAGACAGACTAAGACTCTTGCTTAAAGTGAAAAATTCCACAATAGTACCCAATAAGGCTAATAACTGTACCCCGAGGCATGTATTTGTACTTTTAAAGACCCTGAAAGGTGCACTAATGGTGCCTTTCCACAAGCACTTCCTCAGCCCTACACGGCCAAGCACGGCTTTACATGGTATGGGGGGGTTCCATTACAAATTGAGCGACACAAGTACCAGACAACAACGAAGAACGTTGCATCTGCTATATACCGAATAAACATCTGTGTTGGACAGCAGTGTTTGTTTGTGTGCATTTACAACCCCTATGATTGCAGTAATGAATGTAGCATTTTTAAAATGGATGGAGTTGACGTGATAGAGTCACCATCTAATCATGTGACTCCCTGGTCAGCAATCAAAAAAGCAATCAAGTAGGTGCTAAAGTTGTAACTGTTTAGTGGGGCCAGCGCAGCCCTTAGTAGGAATGCAAAAATACCATGTTGTCTTGAGCTGAATAGGTATTAGTGGAAAAGCGCTATTCTGCTCTCTATTAGTAAGACTAAAGGGTACACCAGCTGAACCTTTTGAGGGTACCACCCTAAAGGCACAATGGGGGGCTTTCCTTTTTGCCCGTTTGCCACTGGAACAGTGGTCATTTTATATATATAATCATCTCCAACTAAAATGCCTGCAAAACATTAAACAAAATAAGGACATTCTTGTTTAGATTGTAGCAGTTATAAAAACATTGTGGTCTGTGTTGCATTTTATTTCCCCTTTTTTTTTTGCAAACTAAAAGGCAAAACGGACAAAAGATAAGGCCAATGGCTCCTGGCGAAGGTCAAGATGCAGCAGGTTGAGAATAGATATGTCATGTTTATGCATTTAGCAGACACTTTTAGCCAAAGTAGAACATGTGTATCTCCCCATTGGGGGAATCAAACCCAAGTCTCCGTGTGACAGGTGGGAGACAATCGTCACTATACTAACCCCCATCCACGTATTAGTGGGATTTATCTCCTGGGACCACATTTGATAGTACAAACCTTGATCAAATGAATGTTTAAAAATGTCAGTTTGGCCCACAACAGTGGACCAATAAGAACAGCCACTGGTTAGTTGGCAATAGTTTTGAGACCTATCATTTGAGCTGTGAAAACACTTGCAACTTGAGGAAATGATGCATGCTTTGGGGGCAGTTTTTGGCTTTCACCTGTAGCCCAAAGCAGCCAAGCCATTAATTTGGCATTACTTAAAGAATAACAGGCTTTCAGTCAGTGAGTTACACAGAAATTATCTCCAAAGGTCATCTTCCTAGCATGACAAATTGATACATCGCAGTACTTAATATTTTGGAAAGGGTAGGATGGCACGGTCTTTGTGTTGGTTTTCGAAAAGAGGTTGCGAAAAAGATTGTAGGTTAAGAATCCATTCTAGTTATTCCTGTTGTCATGCTAAATATTGGGCAAATTACAGCTGAGGCTTGTGGTAGTTCAATAAGTTTTGTATCAAGGGAGTGATTATTGATGAGATTTAAGGGAATTTTGCAAGATAACAATTCTGACAGGTACACCTTATGAGAAAGTCAACTGGCGTAATGTTCTACTGTTGTTATCATATTTACAAAGGGTGGAAAGATCAGTTACTAAATTGTAAATTGTTTAAAGTGATGAGGCTCACAGAAGTTGACTATGCAATGTTAAGTAAAAAAACGAGTTACCTTTGTCTTCGGCGGTTACAGAGCACACCAGGAGGGCCAAAAACAGAGGGAGCAGCATGTTGTAACACAGCAGACAAGCCCAGGAAAGACCAGGAGACTGTGGCTTTCTGACTTTTCACAAAGGCTCTGGTCACCTCTGCTCTATCTCTGATGGCCGCCACATGGCGTCGAGCAGGGACCGCTCTGACTTCTGTGGGCCGGGATTGGAAGGCCTGTGGGAATCAGCCAGGTGCTCCTGATAAGTTGGGGGCGCTGGACAGTTGGGCTACGTGTCACTGTGGCACACGGAACACGCCTGTGTGTGGTAATCTGCGAATTTTGGTCTTGTTGATCTTTTGTGCAGCATCATGTGCCTTTTTTCTTATGTCTACACATCGCTTTAGAGGAGTTGTCTTAATAACTTTGTCTTTAATGCTCTTGCATGGAGATTGAAACAACAGAGTGCTTGATTATAGCATTTTGCACACATGTAGGCTGGCTGCAAGGAGCTTTTAAAGAGTCTTGTGTGACCTGTGGACCAGAGATTAGCCAGGCTGTAGTTTTGTATTGCCACCACATGAGGGACACAAATCCCACGTATCTATCAACTTGCAGTCAAAGCCAATTTCACATTTAACAGTGGGGTGAGAGAGGAATTCTACTGCTTTATTAAAAAAGAAAATGTACCCCTGTTATAGTTTTTTAATTCTGCCACTTTTATTTTGTTAAATTACCATATTTTTCTAAATTGGATTTCATTTTCTCGAGATTATTTCTGTTACATGTGTTTCCTTTATCTTAAAAATGGAGTATTTATTATCTTTAACATTAATCATACTGCTTTATTATTATAAGGGATGTAAATATTTTTATTTTACCAGCAAACCCTATGTATATGTCATGCACTTTAGCATTCCCCTTTATCTGCAAAATGGCTATAATGTAAAATCATTCAATTCAGCCAATGTTGTCATTGTCCCTGAACACAGTTAAAACAATTCAATTCAATTCAATTCAATTTTATTTATATAGCGCCACATCACAACAACAGTTGTCTCACAGCGCTTTCCAAACAGAGCAGGTCAGACCCTACTCTTAAGTTAACTACAGAAACCCAACAATTCCCACAACATTGTAGCTGCACAAAAAAAGCAACTGAAAAACCCGAAAAATAGAAGATGGGACAAAAAGGTATTGATATCAAATTCCTAAACTTTTTTTGTTTGTTTTTGTGCCAATGAAATCCCTTTTTTTTAAATAACAGGGTAGCCGCAACAATTTTAGTTTGTTTATTAGACGATCTTTCAAAGAGACATGTATTATACTGTAAAGTCACTATTTTCTTCACTACAATAACAGTGGGGTTAGTGTTTTACTTAACTTTAAAAAATTCCAAGTTTAAACAGTTTGCATCCCTTTGTCTTGAAATGGAGGGGACTGATCTGATCAAAACACTGGAGGCACACTCCTCAACACTCAAAGAGTGTCAAAGTGCTTTTGAGAAAGATACGTGAAGTCCACATGTGACCTAAAGGCAAACCAGCAACCTGTAAGTGGGTGAACAAGTAAGAGACTAGTACACTGTACCCAGGGATAATTTCTAAAAAGTTATCATTTAAGATCATCGAGTAAAAAGAATCCACATTTAATATTTAGGTCATGAACGATCAATTGGTGTTTCAAAAGGTTACAGCTTTAGGTTCACAAAAATAGCACAGAAGTACACACAGTGTCTCTTAGAGGGTATGGGTCATGCATAACAGTGCATCATATCACTATTTAGGTAAGATGCTCTTCATGCAAGTCAGCTTGGTTATGACAGATCATATCACTTCCCGACATCAAATCTGAGAAATAGAAAAAAGTTTATTTATGTTGTCACCTTTTAAAATTTTTGTTTCAAACCATGTAACCTCGACATTTCATATTGGAAATAAACAAATTATACAAATTATGCTGAATGGATGCTTATGAAGTATATATATATACTGTTTAAATTTCCAGCAAGTATTTCTATGCCCTGTTTGTGGTATGTATTTTTAATTTGTTTGTTGGATTCTAAATTATTTAAAGTATCATTAAGAAGTGGACTGATACTATGAAATAAAACCTAATACTAACTCCGAAACGTTAAACAGAATGTATGTCTCTATGATTTAATTGGTCCTCGCTTCTTATGTGTGGTTCCCTCTCACAGCTTTAATGAGACCATCTCAGTGAGTTTAGCTCTGCATAAATGTCGTCTGTGGTATTTCTTTTATGGAAACAAATGGCAATTTAACATCTTAAAGTTACTCAAGCGCTGACACATATGCTTTCACCCAAAACCATTTTTTTTATATAGCATTCCAGTCTAGCTCAAAAGAGCAGGAAGGACAAGAATAAAACAGTTCATTTTTCTCGTTGCGGACTTGTGTTACATGTTCAACAGGCTCGCAGAGAACCAAGTTCAGGGTAGAATTAGAGGCCCGGAGGCTCATATAGTTGGTGCTACAAATAAACAAAACTGAACAGGGGAGGGGGAAAAAAATCTGTTGGCAGCAGAGGCATATATAGTTAACTTATGCAAACTGTGATGAGACAGGAGCCACTTTCAGTAAATCGATAATGAAAAAAAACAAAGCATGATAAAGCATTTTGAACATTCTAAAATGTTTACAATGAAATGAATTTGTGTGATCAAAGTTCTAAATAAAACAGCAAGAGGTGAATTTAGGCAATAGCCAAAACCATTTAGGGATTAAAAACTAGCGATAGCTTTACGTCATCGATCTGTTGTTGTTTGTACAGCACTAAAGTAAAACGGGTCATAGGATCAGCAGAACACAGAGGACGGAGTACCATGCCGTACATCTACTGGAGGTTTAAGGGGCTGATTGCAATCAGCCTGGCTCTAAAGCACTGAGTGCACAATTATCATATCCACTTATACATACGTTTGATGCCGAACCACCTCCCTAAATGCACAACAGACATGCATCTAAGTCTGCACACAATATAAATTCTATTCCTGGCCACCGCATTTTTCTACAGGCAGCCAAACTATTTTAGGGAACTCTTTTTAAGGGTCCCTGTAAAAAAAACATTCATCATTTATTTAACTTTTAGCTTCCACTTGATCTGAAAGAACACAGTGAAATTTTACTTTCACATATTTAATTCAAAGATGTGTATAAATAAACATTAAGAACTACTAACTTTTTTTTTGGAAGCAAGGCCAACCTGTTTCTGCTCTCATACCCTTAAATCTTGCGCCCTGAGGGGTGCGCTTGCACGAGGGGTTGGCCTACGTGTAGGCAGACAGTTTAGCAGAAAGCTCAGTGACGCAATCCAAGTAAACCTGAGGCTGATGGATTATTGCTAATAAGACCAAGGCCAGGTTATTTCTCAACCATCAGTTACACAAGTCTTAAACCCTGTTAGGCCTCGTCACAGCTCCCATATGTGTGAGAATGTGTCACTAATCCTCAGAACTTGTGGACAACGCTCTTCAGACACTGTTGGTGGCTCACCTACGTAGTTTGCTCATGCAAATTAGAAGATTTGGTGTGGAGATAAGACAAAAAAACAAATGAGACCTATAAAATGACACATTTTTCTGAAACGGACAGTTTCCCTGGTTCAGCATGCAATTTTTGTCAGTTCAGCAGCTTCCATTTTCATATATTTATTTATTTCGTGGCTCCATTGTTGTCCCCCCCACCACCACTTGGAGCTAAAAAACTAAACTGGAAAATATTCGACGGCCACCAATCTGTCTTTAAATTACAAAAGTAACACATCAAAAAGCCCAAGTAATTAAAGCACGTAGTGCAGAGAGCAGTACCTTTGATAAATTAAGTTAATAACCTTATAAACTTCTGCTTACAGGGCCAAACCTTTACCAATATTTGCTCGTTACCTTTGCTGTTGGATGTTCATTGACAATTGGCTGAAATAACTGTATCCAGAACATTTATGACACAGTGACTATTACATCTTAATATCTTTAAAACATCCATTTGTAGTGTTTATGCTGTTTTGGGAATAAATCAGTTTAGGGTTAGTGTGCTTTTTTATATAAAGGGAATGAAAGATGGGGAAGAGATTGTTTTGGCTGCACATTAAATCATACAAAGTTATTTTCAAGCATGAAGACATTTAGAACAAAGCTATGTCCTGTAGTTTTGAAGGTAAAAACCGATCCAAGTCAATAAAAAAGACCAGAATTAAAATAACTGTTTTAAAAAACAAGCCTAACGACTGGCAGACGCCGCGCTTGTCTGACCTGACCCATGTGGACAGGTCCCAATCCAATTACAGCCCATAAGCTGCCGGCTCATCCAGCTTCAGAGTGAGGAGTCACAGCACGGTGCCAAAACAAAGTGGCAAACAGAACGCCGCAGATCTGAGGGCGCATTCGTATAATAAGCAGCACCGTATGAGCCCGTGTGCCTGCGTGTGAACCAGACACGAACCATCAACGCTCTTTGTAGAATCTCCCTAAGGTCAAAAAGCGTGGACCAACCGAGCCGAAAAAACGAAATCTTAAGAAGGAATAAAGTGTGGGAGATTAAAACGACATGAAAAAGAGAAACATATTCAGAAATCCTATTTTGGATGTGAGTGTTCATACCTTTTGTAGTTTGTACATCGATGTTGCTGTGAGTGGAATGATTAGTCCCATCATTTCACATGACATAGCACTATTGCATTTATCTCAGAATACATCTGCATTTGCACTAGGTGCTCAGCCATATTTGCACACTCAGATTTCACGGCCCTGACCCGACTGAATCGGGGAGACTACCCTTGCCTGCTATTTACGATAGGAATTTCTTGCATGAGGCGTCACTTTGTTCTCTAAGCCTCCTGCAGGTAATAGACGAGACCTCGGGAAAAGGTGGCACAGCGTTATCTGAAAAGCTGCCAAATTCTCTCTCCGCCACGTGCTCCTGGCAAAACCGTCGGACAAAATGGGAACGTTTAAACCCGGTTCTTATTCAGACGCCCAGCCAGCGGAGGGACATTTTTTTGATTAAATTGATTGTTTTCTCATCTGGAGAGTACCACACACTCGTAGCCTTTCCAGGATCTACGGCTCACATTGTAAACAACGTTGACATTTATATGAGGAAATACAGTTTGTGGCAGCTTCAGGCAGCAGTTTGAGTGGCAGGCTGATGACTCAGACCTTAGACTTGCAAATTTGCAATTCAGAAACACTGTGTTTCATTCTGATAAACCCACCCCGGCAGACAGAGCAGCTTATGTGTGTACGCTTGGGTTCAGGAGATGTATTCACAGTTGCCAGTTGCAGGTGCCTAATGTCTTATACTGAGCATATGTGGCCTTTGCGCACGCTTCAGGACAAAAGCAGGTTATCGAGCGGGCCAGAACTTTAAAATAGGCCGTGCTTCCCAGAAATAATCCTTGCCGAGTTAATAACGATTGTGAAGTCATTTAACATACAAATTAAGGTGCACGGAGTAATTAAATCTGAATGATTACAGTGCGTGTGCTAACTGTGACTGCAAAGTTTAATCCTATTGCTGGGAAGACAAAGAAGTCAGTGGTTGATATTTTTACTCCGGCCTCCTGTAAATAGACTTAAGAGTGGCTGAATTTAGAAGTCGAAGGTCCACATGTGGGACTTTTTAAAGATACATTAATCGTTTCACCCAGATTCCCCAGATTGGGAACAAGCAGTATAGAAATTGGACGGATTGACCATTTCATTTAATGGGCTTAGGTCCAGCGCCTCACAGCAACAGGGTTCCCAAATCAAACCCAATATCCAAAAATAAAATGCATGTCAGGTTAAGAAGTCTCCAGAATGACTGCCCAAACTTAACAAACCTGTCATATTCATGTTAAATTGCAGGAGGCAATATCTCATCCGCTGTCCAGAAGCTACAAGCACATTGTAGCACTGTGGCATCAAGAAGTTAACACAAGAGCAGCAAGTAGTGCTACTAGCTATTCTTTCCCAATCATCATTAAGCATTCTGTGTTAAAGCTCTATTAAACAACAGTGTGAAAATGTTTGGTGTCATTATCGCTGTGTATGAGAGTATGACAGACTATGACTTCAAAATACTTGGCTGTTTTTTTTCTGTTGTTTCCTTGTCTACTCACAGGCTGCTAAGCTGCACCGCAGTCATTTCATTCTCATCTGACAACATGAATCTGCAGCAGACCGGCACCATCCAGCAGGTTCCTATTATTGTTGAAAGTGTAGACGGGGAATCAAAAAAGCTGAGAAAACCCAAACGCATGATGCTGCAGGAGAGGCCAGTGCAGTCAAAAGCCTCATCCTGCCCAGATTTACACGAATGTGCAAAACAGATGCAGAACCCTGTGCAAACAGTTCAGGAGGACGTGTCCAAATAACTACATTTGATTTATGAGGACCAAGAAATGTAATAAGCAATGCTTGTATCACAAAGCATTTCACATATATTTGAACTTGCATGGTTTTATTTGCTGTAGTGGGTTGATTGATAAATGTGGTATTTCTACAAAAAAGTATTTTACTAATATAGATAACCCCACCTACCACCCCAAAAAACCCTTCTAAATTGCATCCTTTAAAGTCCAATACAAAGGATTATAGGTATTACATGTATTAATGATGTCACATCACTGGACCAGAGGTCCGACATCAGTTTACTTCAAAAGAAAATAGGGGAAATTACCATTTTATCTGGAAGCGAGCTTCAAAAAACATGTCTGTCTGGCTAACTAAAGATTGCGAACTGGGTGTTGACGTGACTGCAAACATTAAAAGATGGCGTTTGCCCAGACCATCATCACGATGTTAGGGGTTTTAAAACAGTGGTTGGTGGATTTCCACAAAACCTCATCTATATTCAACCAAAGTCAGCAGGCATTTTTTGATCCTAGAAATCGGATAGGATTCAGTGGTGTGTCCGGCTGCGATTGATCCTGTAATGATGTACCCAAAGAAATTTCACAAAAGCTCAAACCAACTGGATGCTGTCAATTATAGTATCGATGCAGAATCGTTCACTCCCAAACGGAAGCTAATAAAGTACTAATGGTGTTCTCAGATGTTCACAGTCTAATTGGACCCGGACCGCTGCTGTTTGTGGCCACATTGATCCAGCTCTACTGCACTTTGGAAGAAGTAAACTCATTTATGAAGTCTATGTATGTTTTGTTTTTTTCATTTAGGAAAATCTTGTTAATCCCTGCCAACTCTACATTCTCCATGGTAACAAGAAAATGCCGTCCTCGAGTTTTAACCCATTCTAAAATTACCAAGCAAAGAGTTCTGAATGGCCATTAGGTTGAAGGAATAGAAACAAATAATTAGGACGAGATCATAAGTGCAGAATGTTTATATCTATCATATGTACACAAATGAGTTAATTTCCTTTTGCCATACATTGAACTTTTGATATGCTGCTGAAAAGTTTTTTTCTTTGCCGGAGACAAAAAAACCCAATGTATGTGAATAAGCAGCCCTGGTAGCCATAGCAACAGAGGCTTCACTTTTACTCCCTGCCCTCTGTTTTTCAGCACACTCTCTCCTTGATTTATTACTACAGCCTGAAAGCATAAATGTTGCAGCGATTTCACTGCCAGCACAGCTTTTTTTTCTTTCTTTTTTTCCGTCAATGATGAGGACACAGAGATATTCGGTGGAAAACTGACACATTTATTAGTTTTGTTCATGCAACTGTTTCTCTCGACCAAGAGAAAAAGAGCTGATCTTACCGGCTACGGCATGAAGTGAATTACAGGCTTCTCATAAAAAACAAAAAGGTCATTCAGCTAGTTACAGTAGACTCCTGCACACGTTGAATCAGCAACTTTTGAGGAGTGGAGGTGGAATGGGAGAGGAGGAAAAACAGTCTTAGGATATCACAACAACAGATATCGAGGCCTCTTCATATTAACAAAATATGAAGTACATTTTATATCTGCGGCAATCGCACGGATTGCCGCAGATAGAAGAGCAGGGTTGGGAGGAAGAGGAGGGAGAGGAAGGCAGGGAGTGAGGGGGTGGGAGGGAGTGACAGAGCTTTGGGGGAGAGGCAGGGGAAGGGGAAGCGGTACGACGGGTAAAGGCGGAGGAGAGAGGGCTTTATTTTGACACATCTTTGAAACAGCCTTGCGGTTGAGTTTCTGTGCATAGCAACCGACACCAGGTCAGGTGAGCTGGGGAGGCAGAGGGAAACAGGAACAGCAGAGGAAAGGGGGTACATTTTAAGGGAGCGAGGACAGGGAAAGGGGGGCGAGGTCTCTAGACGATTCCGTATTTCGCCAGGTCGCTGAGCTCCATGTCCCCGAAGGCTTCCCATGGGCAAACCACTGTGATGTCAGTGCCAAGGCCCTCCATGCCGGGGATGTCGTCTCCGAATCTGAATGAAAGGGACAAGAAGCATTGTTGTAAGAAAAAAACAGCAACGAACAAAAAAACTGGGATGCAGTTCGTGATTGTCGCATTAAAGACAGAAAGATCGCGTCCTCACCCCTTCTGGCCTGGCTTGGGGGCCTTGCTCTTGAAGGTACGGGCAGTCCTCTGCTTGAACTTGGGAGGTGCCTTCTTGTCAGCGGGAGTTGCAACATCTGCCATTTTGCTGGGCTGAAGAAAAAGCAGAAGAGGCATGAGCACAGTCTGTAAAGTTCCCAGCAGATCTCAGTGCTCATCGCCTTAAACGTTCCTATTTCACCAGTCTAAAGCGGCACTATGACTCCATGTGCAGCCTTTTTTCTGAGGCTCCTCAGGTTGGAAATCATCACACCAGTCAGCAAGAGAGCTGAAAGGTTGAAAGCACAACCAGTTCTAAGAGTATCTTTCTGTTAATCCAAAGAACCCTGATAGGCAATGTCAAGATGGAGCTGTCAAATACCAACAAAAAAGTCACCGTAAAGAACTACTCGTTAAGCATCTCGTCTCAACTTCATTTTCTTTTTAACCGTCAAGGTTAAAAGAAAAGTAAAAATTTCATCTTAAAGCTGTGAAAGCTGCACTGTCTTTTGCCCACAAAGAAATAAATTAAAGCAGAAACATAGAACGCAATAGAAGGTCTTTAAACATCTCGTACAAAAACCCCATCTCTCTATGCAAGGGCTGACAAAACTGAAGCTTCATCTCACCTTTTTTGTTCAGTGTTTCTCTGGAGCTGTCGGATGAACCAGTCAGTTTCTCAGTTGCGGTGCTACTGCCGGGCTGGGGCCTCCTTTTAAAGTCCTCCTGAGCTGCTAATCCACTCAGATGTTCACTCTGTCTGTCGATCTTGTGGCAGCTCTGCCCAGCCCACTGCAGCAGCTCAGCCACAAATAGGTGAGATAAAGGATCGCTTGATATAGATACAAGGTGTATTTCCAGCTGCAACGTGCGGAGCCAAACGAAGTGAGGAGGCATCATTCACTGGTGGCAGTGTCAGTAATTAAAACCACTATGAGATGATTAAAGAGAATGCCAACTCTCTTCTCCTTAGCATGTATTAGGGTTCGTGTCTAACAGTCTTTGATCATAAAGAAATGTACACTGAAGGTTACATGATCTCATGTCGCAGAAATGTTCAATTAGCTAAATGTCTGGCAAATATATGCACATATTTGTGTGTGTATATATATATATATGTATGTATGTATGTATGTATGTATGTATGTATGTATGTATGTAT